GGCATAGCTCCCATATAAAAGTACCCCCCAATTTTCGGTGCGTTTTTCAACCGAATCTGCTGAAATTTGGTACATTGGGTCCTTATTGGTTACTAAATGTTCCCACAAAAAATTATAAATATAGGTCCACTTTTTCTGGTAGCCCTCATATAACGGTACCTCCTAATTTTCCGTATTTTGGGAGTTTTGATCGTATTTTTCCACCGAATTGGCTGTAATTTAGTATTTCGAGTTCATAATAGGTAACAAATCTCTCCACAAAAAACTATAAATATAGGTCAACTTTTTCGGATGTCCCTCATATAAGGGTACCTCCCAATTTTCGGTATTTTGGGGTTCTGGAGCGCGTTTTTCAACCGAATACGCTGACATTTAATACATTGGGTTCTTAATAGGTAACAAATCTCTCCACAAAAAATATAAATATAGGTCAACTTTTTTGGATATCCCCCATATAAGGGTACCTCCCAATTTTCGGTGTTTTGGGGTTCTTGAGCTCGTTTTTCAACCGAATACTCTGAAATTTAATATATTGGGTTCTTAATAGGGACCAAATCTCTCCACAAAAAATTATGAATATAGGTCCATTTTTTCGGATAGCCCCCATATAAGGGTACCCCCAATTTTCGGTATTTTGGGGTTCTTGAGCGCGTTTTTCAACCGAATTTGCTGCAGTTTGGAATTTTGTAGTCGTATATGGTAACAAATCTCCCTACCAAAAATTATTAATATTCGGCCCCTTTTTGGGATAGTCCCCATATAACCCCCTTTTTATACCCTCCACCGTAGTATGGAGGGAATATTAGTTTTGTTTTTCCGTTTGTAACGCATCGAAATACTCACTTCCGACCCTATAAAGTATATATATTCTTGATCAGCGTAAAATTCTAAGACGATTTATGTATGTGCGTCTGTCCGTCTGTCTGCTGTAATCACTCTAGCGTCTAAACGAATTGAGATAGAGCCCCTAAATTTTGCATAGAGTCGTCTTTTGTCTGCAGGCAGGTCAAGTTCGAAGATGGACTATATCGGTCCACTTTTAGGCATAGCTCCCATATAAGGATACCCCCCAATTTTCGGTATTTTGGGGTTCTTGAGCGTGTTTTTCAACCGAATTCGCTCAAATTTGGTACTTTGAATTCTTCTTGGGTAGCAAATATCCCCACTAAAAATTATAAATATAGATCCATTTTTTCGGACGGCCCCCATGTAAGGGTACCCCCCAAATTTCGGTATTTTGAGGTTCTTGAGCGTGTTTTTCAACAGAATTCGCTGAAATATGGTACTTTGAGTTTTTATTGGGTACCAAATTAACCTACAAAAAATTATAAATATAGGTCAATTTTTTCTGGCACCCCCCATATAACGGTACCCCTCAATTTTCTGTATTTTGGGGTTCTTGAGCGCGTTTTTCAAACGTAATTTGTAATGTCCGTTTTCACCAAGAAAATATATTATTACAGATTTTACTATCAGGCTAGAATTTATAACAAATTTCACACAACCATATCAACAACAAAGATTAAAAGCACTCAAATATTATTTTACACTATATCAAAAATACCCTTATATGTTTTGCCAAAATCCTAGATATGAACGCTGGTAAAGAATGCTTATATATATATTTTTCACTATATTTACCAAACATGGTGCAAGGTTCATATCCACAAGGTTCATATCCACAGTACAAATTTTTCTCTTCATCGCACATTAATTTTTATAATTTAAATTTACATTATTATCTCTTAAATTTTTTTTAGATTTTATAGAAATTTACTATACAATGCAAATTGCTGAAATCCACTTATCACAATGTTATGAATGGTAAATAGCAAATATAAAAATTGACAGTTAATAATTTTTGTTATTTTTTTATTTTGGTACGATATTCTTTGGCTGTGGTGACTTCATTATCTTTGAGAACACAAATGGTTTGTTACACAACTAACCAGATACACATTTGTTTGACAAACATATTGTATGCATAAAAAACATTTTTTTATTTTTTTATAAAAAAAATTAACCGTATACATATTTTTGTATACAAAAATTCAGAATTAGACATTTTTTTAGATATAATATTGTATCCATTATTTTTATCAATGATAAAAAATATCAACATCAAATGTTTGTACCTCACACTAAAATTCTAAACTTGCTACCTCTTGGTGCAGCTTTGTGTCATGAAGCTAAATATGGCAACTTATAAGTAATTCTATGTTTTAGAGAAGTGTCAAATACAGGTATCATGTTGCAAAAATCTATTAAGAACTTCCTTTTATTATCAGATCTCGAAGTACGAACATCAAATTAGTTCATCAAAAAAATCAGTTTATATTTCAATCATCCTCTATTGTTCGATGAATTCAAATAATTGTGAATAAGAACAAAAACCTAATATTATTAAATTTTTTAAAAAATTATTGATAATCTGAAAAGATAAAATACCACAATAATACCGAAGACCAAAAGTGCAAAAAAAAAATAGTGTGTCTATTGAAGATAGATTCCACATCATCAGTATCAGAAACTAAAACTAAAACCTTTGAACCTTATCTACGCCTTGTTCGATATTTTTGGCCTTAATCACGTACTTGGACGAAAGCATTGTGGCAAACCTTTATTAAAAACCTATATGGTTTCTTTTTCAAAAAGGGATAGTGAATGGCAGTCATAGCCATGGAACCCTGGTGATCAGCGCTTCACCAAAAAAGTTTCCCTATCATCCCAACAAACAATCTATGTTCGATGAATCCACCAAATCATCAGTAACCTACATGGAAAACATACAAAAGAAAAAGCGTATTCATAATCATCATCCCTATGTAAGATTAAGTGGTCGCCTGATTCCTAGTGATGATGCTTGGCATATGACCACCAAATCCCAACTATCCGCATCACCAGTGTACATCGATATAAGTATCTGCTAATTTGCTAATATTTTTGTTACAATCAAAAAAAGATATTTTTAAACTCAATTGGAAATTTGCCATATTTGGATAGGAGAGTTCCAATCGATTAGAGTGAGAGAAAGTCTTTCCAATTCCCTTAACATTTTTTTGCAGCAGCAACCATCAAAACCGAAATGCAGGAGGCCTTCTACAAATCGAGTAATTGGTGGTAAGTTGAACATCAGCTGTTTATTTTTTTTTATTTTTGTATACTTTCTCTTACGTTCAATTGGTTTGCCTAACTTGTAATGAGAATTGATAAAGTAGATCAGTTACATACTCTTCATTAGCTCTCACCAGTGAGGTGAATATATATATTTGAGAGAACCGTTAATCAAATGTCACTCAATCTCTTTATTACTTCTCATTACCTGTGGTGATACAAAAGAAAACAAAAAACAGTCATACGTATTTACATACTTACAAACAATGTAAATATGTAATTTCATTCACTCTTGTTTTTATTCTTATTTTTTTGTTTTGATTTGTATCTACGTAATATCCTAACACAAATTTACGCTTGAAAGCGAGAAACATTTTAATGAAATTAACCCTTTAAGGGCAGTTTTTTATTAATAGTCTAATAATGAAATGTTCGAATAATGAAATATATAATTATTAGTTATTTTAGTTATCTATTTTTTTTATTCATTAAGCAAAATGTCTCTTTCTTTGAATAAAATGAATTGTAGCAGTCAAAAGATGACTTGGTAAAAGATTCCTTTATGTTTTCCTGCCTGATGAAGTGAAGAAGTTGATGTAAGTATTTTTGGGGTTCTGATGATAATTTTCAACGCTTTCAGGATATCGGACGGTGAGGGTTATGAAGCGGATTCTCACAACAACAACTGTGAGGATAACTTTTGGAAGGATATAGATGTTTTGTTTTCAATTTAATTTAGATTTGCATAATATGACTAATGTAGGGGATTTTGTTTACGCGTTAGTCATTCTGGCCCAGTTAGATTACCAATAGTATTTCTAGATAAATAAAAATAGGGAGTCTATAATAATTAAATGTGATGAATAATGGTTTATGCGGAAAAGGACCGAACCTCCCCAACCGACTGACTGCTAGCATAGCAAAGGCTCCCGCAGTCCTTCATCTCCATAAACTCATCGGTGTTTTCAATCATCTTTACAAACTACACACCTCATCCTTGTGGGAATTACATTAATTTGGCGCCCAACGTGGGGCCGAAGAGATGATCACATCATTTTGGCCCTAATTTGTTTTTTTTTAAGTTAAAGTATTTTAAATTTCATGTATTTTCAGTTTGAAGGAGCTTATGATTTCAGGATTTTATTTCAGGAATAGTTGAAGAAATCTTCCTGGAAATTTAGCATTTAGGCGAATTTTAGGACCAAAATAGCTAACCGTTTGATTTACTACAACAATTTCCTAAATAAACGAATGAAATTATTTTGCTAATTTATACTGAAAAACTTGTTTGCACATTCGAAGCTTTTGATAGTTGATCTGAGGTATCAACATCCTTTCACTCAGCTAGGACTTCATGAATTTAGCTGGATTGCAATTTCATGACCGTTGTTTCGAAAGGCCATGTATATATATATTTTGTTGGTTTGATCCTATTATTATGTTTCGTGTGAGCTAACAAGATTCCATAGACCAGTTTATGACCAAAATCTATTGTCTTTTCCAAATCTATACGCATTTTCTTCTTCACGTTCATCAGTAAATGGCAAGAAAACATAAATATTATCATATTTTTTTAGTAAAACTTTGTTAACATTTATCTAATTATATATTTTTAGTGTTTATCCTTGCTAAACAAAATATTATTAGTACTAAAATTTATATATATATATATATTAAATTCATAATATTAGTATCTTGTTTTGTCAAAGTCAAGAATTTTTTCTTCTAATTTTTTTATTGTTTAAAATTTGCTATATTTTTCCGATATTTGAGTTTCCAATCAACTATGGTAGTCTGATATTTTTTATAAATATCATATTACTTTTACTGCTTTTATAACAAGTTTCCGTAAACATTTTCTTAATTTCTTTAATAAAGTACTAAACATGCCTGTGCAAAACACGCCGCCACACCCCTCTTCTCAACCTCCGCCAGCTACTTCGGTACCTCTTACAATGGAACCAGCGGTATGCAGCATCTGTAAAAATAATATGGGTGAAGGTGACGATTGCCTTATGTTAAATCAGTGCTTTCATACGTTCCATCGATCCTGTATCGAGACCCATATGTCGTCTTCGACAGAATGCCCAACATGCAAGAGAACTTGCGAACTAAATGATCTTAGGGATATAGTAGTGCAAGCCAAAAATGCTCCTGTCTTCAAACCAAGTGCCCCCAGAGGCAAAGGTAGAGGAGCGATGTCTAAGCAGTATAATACTCGAAGCTCTTCTCGAAATCTTTTCCAAGATAATCCTATCTCTAGCCAAAATCCACATGTGAGTAACACTGCTGATAATACAGCTACTCCGACTAGAAATTTAGATGTATCTTCCCATTTGTTTTCTCCGATTCAATCAGCTAATCCCAACAGTGGCGTAAGTGCGACTGAAATAGAAAAGATAGTCGAATTAAGTCTCACAAGGATTCTCCAAAATATTAACCTTCTTCCTAGAGGTAGCAATGAAAACGCTAACAATAGCCCTACCAATGCAGTTCACAATCCGAATATTCAACATGGTTCAGCACAACAACAACCCAATTCGATATTAAATAACCAAGGGGATTATAATTTTCCTTCTGATAACCCAAATCAACAGCAAATGAATCCCAATAACACTATTTCAGACCCCGTTCCATCTGCCGGTACACCAAACCATATGTATCAACCAACTGCAATGCAAAACAACAGACAAACAGCATGTACCAATCAAAGTAACCAACAACAAACCAATTCGAATACATTACGAGAAAACCTAAATTTCCAGCCTAACACAATACCAACTCATCCTCAGCAAGTAAATACTTGTAATATATCAAATTCTTCTCCACATTGTTCTATGAGTAGTAGTAATATGCCATTTGATAAAATCACCTCAATCATCCAAAATTGGAACCTTAAATTTGATGGTTCCACTAATGGCTTAAGCGTGGAAG